TAGAATTCCTAGGTTAATGACATTTTATGAAATCATTTAATTTTTTAGAAGTTATATTGTAAGCCTTTATTTTTTATGTCTTTTCATATTTTTCACTTTAAGTTGTAAGCTTATAAATACTTGTATTGTAAAGAAGAAGGGGAGGTTTGAATTATCATGTTGATATTTGAGTTGTAAACTCATTTTTATGTGCCTTTCTCTTGTTTAAGAGTTTGCATCTTTGTTCTTTTTAGTGTCTACGTTGTGGGTTGGTACTAGAACCAAAGTTCTTAGGGTTTTCAGGTCTCTCCTTGCACTAGGAGATAGTGGACTCTATCTATCTATCTTCCCTATCCATCCTGTTTTTCCTAATTTTCTACTTTCATTTTATTTTATTCATTTTTATTCGCTACACCCTGCATCAATTAAGTTCATAGTTGGGGATTTTGATGTAGCCTTGCAAAACTATTCTATGTTATTAAGTTAAAGTGTTCAAATTACCAATCTGTTTTCTTGTTTCATTCATTGATTTTATAATTTAAGTTGTTTGTTTATCATAATGTTTGGTCACCATTAGGATTTCCTATAGATTATTTGATCAAGGTTATAGTACACATCATGCTTAATTTTGGTGGACATGTGAATGAATGAAAAAACTACTATGCAAACATCTTTCCATGTGATTTCTTTGGTTCTGTGAAGTTTTCTTGTTCTTAATTGATTCTTAATTGGTAATCTAAGTTGAACATCATAACTAGGTTGCAGATTAGGAGTACTTGATCACAACCACACATCAAATGGATGATTATAAATAAGTAAAATGAACCCTAGTTGCAGATTGGAGAGTTGAATACACTTTGACTTAATTTTCATGGAATGGGCTTGTAGTGATTAAATCGGTGTCCCTAGTCCCATCCCATCGTTAACCAATTAGTCATTTTATCTTGTCTTGCATTTTCAAGTTACTTTAGTTTTCAAACAAAAATCCAAATTCAATTTGTATTTTCATTGTTAGTTAGGGTTCACATAAAGCTAGTAATTTGTAGAGGTCTAATCACTCCATGTGGTTTGACACCCTTACTTGTGCCATTATACTATCTTTATATTTGCACTTGAAAGGAACACAACAAAATTTTGACGCTGTTGTTGGGGACTGATTTTAGTCTCCTCTGCTTGCTCGCTTTATAAACCCTATTTGTTTATTTTCATAGCCTAATTTTTATTTATTTTTATTTCTTACCTTTTAGGTTGTTTTGATTTTAGGTGGTATAAAACGATGTATGGTGTATGTACATTATGTGCCAAGACCATTCATCCTCTTCAATTCTGCCCAGGGAGAGATGAGTTTCCTACATTTGTCCAAGAGCACTGACACCTCATGAGTTCTCTAATGAAGGGTCATTACAACCATTGTCAAACACATATCGCCGTATTTGGAGAAACCCTTATCATGACTCGTGGAACAACATACAAGCTCCGAATCAAGAATTTGCACCTTCACCACAGCATAACTCATTTGACACTTTGAAGGACACTTTGAAGCTACTCTCTCAAAACAATTTGCAATTTCAACAATCAACGAGTAACATTATTCAAAGCCACTCCATAACACTAACTAAGTTGGAAATTCAAGTGGGTCAAAATGTCCAAGTTTTAAATGAACAACAATCCGGTGGTGATGATTAAGAAGAGAAAGAGGAACAACCAAAGGAAGTTTGTTGTGCATATTTTCATAGTGAGATTCCTAAGTTTTACGAAGATGAAGAGCCTTACACTCCTATCTCTTTAACTTAGTTCAAGGATATGGTGTCACATTTTATTCACAAGGAGAGTCGTTAACACCATCACAATCAAGCCTTGTGGAAATTCAACGCATAATATTATTCAAGATCACTCGACATAAGCCACCTTTTGCTATGAAGGTCGTCAAGTATCTTGAATTTTGATGCGAAATATATAAGCACACAAATTAAACCCTTTTTTTATCAATTGTAGCAAGTATGTAAGTAGGGATCGTTCTAGGCCGGGGATTAGGAGGGATTGCCAAATCACTTGAAAACTGACTCAAAACTTAAAAACAAAGTTTAAAACACTAAACTAGACTCGAAGAATGCAAAACTTAAGCGTGCACTCTCAACCAACATACACAAATAAGTTTTTATACGAACGGATAAGTAAATTGAATTCACAACTTATGAATCACAACTGGATGTAATCAAATCATATTGCAAGCATGAACATAGTTTCGAATCACCCCCTAACTAAGAGGGGTTTAGTTCCTCATACTCACAAAGCAAAGATGCATAAATTTAGACATTAAAAACAAAGATAGAAAACACCTAGAAACGCTCCAACATTCCCAAGGTTTGGGCTTAGGCACGGCACCAGGTTTATTCTTCTTTCTCCTTCCTTGCAAGCTGCGGCACTAGAGGTTTTGGACAGGTTTTGGGTGTTTTTTATGGTGTAGAATGGATGGGGAATGGTATGGAAATGTTTAGGGTTGATGGGTGGTGTGGCTAGGGGTGATTTTTGGCTGAATTTGGAGAGAATGGTGGTGGAAAACTCATGGCAAGGAGCAAGGATAAAATCTGTTATGGTTGATGAATATGGGAGGTGGTATTTATAGGCTTGAGAGAGGACCACTCCATTTCCTTTGCATGTGCAGCTTGTGTGGGTGTGAGTTGTCATGTTTCCCCTTTACATTTACACACACATGCTTCATCATTTCAATCACCAAACACCCACATTTTCTGCCCATGCCATGTGCTCCATGTGTATGCTTTCTTTGCCATGTGTTTGCTGCCATGTTCTTTGCTTTGCCATTACACATGCACACACACATGTTTTTTTTTGCATCATTTCAACCACCAAACACCCACAATTTCTGCCCATGCCGTGTGCTCCCATGTGTGTTCTGCAACATTCTTTTCTTTGCCATGTGTTTGCTGCAACAAGGAGTTTATTTAAAGGGATAAAGGAAATAAAACCCTAGGTTAACTAGGTAAACAGAAATTAAGTCTAAAGCTTCTACAATTTAGGGAAACAAATCAGAAATTTAAAGGAAATAAGCTAAAAGGTGTGGTAAGGCTTTAAAGTAGATTAGGAAAGTGTTTAAATGCAAGATTTAGGAAAGAATGACTCTTCCTTGCACGGCAAGGAAGAGTAATGGCAAGGGTGGAGCACACGGCTGGTTGCTTATTTTTGAACACTTCGTTCTTTATTTGTCTTGAATCCAATTCTTCACATCATCATTCAATCCTATGCTCATTTGATCTTCGATTTCGTCAATCTTCTTACTTCCTAGCATATGCAATCCATTTGATGCACAAAAACTGCTCCAAACGACTCCAAAATGCACATGTATGCATACTTTGTCCTTAAAACCTGAAAACACATAAAAGTGACTTTAAACACTAAAATAACTAAAGAAACACAACGTAAACGTACGAGAACAAGCCAATTAAGTCGCATAAAAATGCTCCTATCAAATTCCCCCACACTTAGCTTTTGCTAGTCCTCGAGCAAACAAAGAAATAAAATGAAACAAGACAAATAAAACACAACCTAAACCTTCCAACAATTGCCTCAGGGATTTCCAATGCACATGACATGTTAAAAATCATTATCCCCACAGATTTGAGTCATCTTCACACTTAAGCATATACTTAATCATAGTCACCACGTACTAGTTCACATTTAACCAATTAAAATATGATTTTGAATGTAGTAACATGCCTTAGAGAATTTGCTCAAGTCCTTACAAGATATTCACTCAATTTTCACTCAGATTTTCTAACTACACACCCTATACTAGTTATATGTGAGAAGATTGATGTAAACATGAAAACGAACGTTATGACTAAGCTTTCATTGGTTCTAGTTAGTTTGTTGTAAGTATGCTTTAACCAATTTGTTTGTAGAGTCTGTAGATGTTTATGAGCGTTATCACTGTAAACCCTCAAGAGATACAACTCCTCCTACTAAGGACACCTGGAAGTTTAAAGGCTTGTTTCACATGCTCACTGCAATCATTTAGCTAGCAAAAGTGGCCTAGTAATTTTTTCTTTGTTTTGTTTACTTTTAGTTTTAGTTTTGCTGGACGGCTAACAAAAACCGTGTTTGGGGGTATTTGATAACTCACATATTCTATACATTTGTACCATCCATTTGTAATCTCTTTATAATATTTTTAAGTTAAGCTGGTTGCATTTTACCCTTTTTTGGGTTAATGTGCAATTAATTGTATTTAGAGTCCATTTGAGGGAAAATGAGGCAAAATAATGCTGAAAGTGGAGAATTAAATAAGGATTATGATGTAGAGAGAGAATCAAAAGTGGAAAATTGAAGATGGTGATAAATATGGCCCTTTATGAGACCAATAACAAAAAAGAAATGAAAAAAAAAACGTTTGAAATAAATGCTTAATTACTAGTGTCACGGGCCATGTGTTAAAAACAAAGAAAATGCCCAAGACATCATATATCTAAGCCCATGAAGCCATGTCTTCATGGAAGCTTCTGGAACGTCCCGGAGAAATCAAGAAAGTGGCGGAGCATTCAAGATAATCTAGGGCATTCCGGAACATTCCACACAAGTGTACATATTTAAGCCTCACCTAGAATAATCTAGATTAGGCAAGTTGTATCTAGAACTATGCTAGATATTTTTTGATGTAAGTAGGGGATTCTAGAACCCTCCAATGAGGAGGTGACTTAGGCCTATAAATAGAAGGTAAGGCCATTTGGCCAAACCATCCAAGAGTTGTAAGCAATTGTAAAGTTCTCTTTAAGTTTCAATACAAAGCTTCATTTCTCCCATCTTCTAAGTGATCTTAGCATTCTCCAAGCTATCTTAGCTTTCTTTGTGATTCGATCCGGGGAAGCGAGGCTTCGAAGGCTTACTTAGCTTGTTCATCGAGGTATTCAAGTCTAAGTGCCGCACGGGCGGAAGGCTTAAAGAGTCAATCCCGTGACAGCTGGTATCAGAGCCAAGCTCGTGAATCACTTGAAAGAAAGTAGGATATGGCAAGTGGAGAGATGGTGTCCGGAGTCTCCGACCTAAGGGAGCGTACTGCAGAGGTCCAAGACGTTGCCAAGAGCAAGCCAAAGTTAAAGGACTTGCAAGCATCGATGGAGACCATGGAAGAGCGACTCGAGAAGGTGGAACGAACCATACTCGAGTTTCGATTACTCGACTTGATGAGGACGTTGTCGACAAGGAGGAAATCCAAACCATGGGTGGACAATGGTAAGGATGAACTGCGTGGCTTGGTGGAAGGGCTACGAGATGAGCTCCTTGGCGCTCTCAACACCATGGCAGACAAGATGCGGAGGGAAGTCCAGGTTCACCTTGACAACATAGAGGCAAGGTTTATGGCACTTCAAGAAGAGATAAAGGACACAAGGGAACTTAAGGGAGATGTGGCGTTTTGTAAAGAAGCAGTCGTGAAGCAATTCGTGCAAGGGTCGAGGGAAATCAAGGCGTTGGACTCCAAGGTAATCGACTCCTTTAAACCCAAATCCTATAATGGGAAGAGGGAAGCAAAGGAACTCGACACATTCGTGTGGAACGTGGACCGATACTTCAAGTACCTGAAGCTTGAAGATGACGAGTCCAAAATCTCAACGGCAACCATGTTCTTAGCTGACAATGCCCTTATGTGGTGGCGTCGTCGGAGCATGGAGATTGAGCAAGGTACGTTCTCTCTCACCACTTGGGATGAATTTAAGAAAGATCTTATGTTGCACTTCTATCCCCAAAATGCCAAGTACGAAGCCAAGGAGAAACTAAGGTGGCTCAAGCAAACGGGGAGCGTCAAAGACTATGTCAACGCCTTCGTGAGCTTGTTATTCGAGGTGCCCAACATGTTAGAGGAAGACAAGCTCATGTACTTCATGAGTGGACTACAAAATTGGGCAAAGCTCGAACTACAAAGGAGACACGTGCAAACATTGTCTGATGCCATTGCCGCTGTCGAATCCTTGATTGAGTTTAAATCAAGCCACCAAGGTGATTCCAAGTCCACGGGGAAGAAGGGTAACCATGAGAGAAGTGGGGGAGAACATAAGCCGAAGGACAAGGCCGAGACAAGCAAACCGAAGGAAAAGAAAGCCGATAAGCATGACAAAGGCAAAGGTAAGTCTTGGCAACCCACTTGTTACCTATGCGACGGCCCTCACATGATGCGAAATTGCCCACAAAAGAAGGCCCTTAAGGCCATGGCTTTCAAGGAGGACAAGGCCGAAGAAAGTAACGATGCAACGATGGGATGCATCCGTCTACTGAATGCCATCCAGACAACCCTCCCACAACCTAAGGCTCAAGTTGGGGGAGGATCATTGTTCGTCGACGTCAAGACTGGTGACAAGACGACGAGTGTGTTGGTGGACACGGGAGCAACACACAACTTCATGACGTCAGAGGAAGCCACAAGGCTTGGCCTCCGAGTCACAAAGGAGCCCGGTAGCGTGAAGACTGTAAATTCCGCTGCCACCCCCATTGTTGGAGTTGCGCGCAATGTACAAGTAGACATTGGCACATGGAAGGGAAATATCGACTTCACCGTAGTCAAGATGGACGACTATGGCGTAGTCATTGGGTTAGAGTTCATGGACAAGGTACGAGCCTTTCCCATTCCCTTCTACAATATTTTCTGTATCCTGGCCGACGGAAGACAACCTTGCCTGGTGCCATTGGAAAGGCAAGCCAAGAAGTGTACCCAGCACTTGTCGGCAATTCAATTTGCCAAGTCTTGGAAGAAAGGCGAGGCCACATTTCTTGCAACCCTAATGTTGAATGAAGGGGAGGAGAAGTACGGGCCTTTGCCGAAACAAGTGGAAGACGTCCTTGTGGAGTTTGCGGACGTGATGCCTAAGGAATTGCCAAAGAAGTTACCACCAAGGAGAGAGGTCGACCATGCGATTGAGTTGGAGCCTGGTGCTAAGCCTCCCTCCAAATCACCTTATAGGATGTCGCCACCCGAGTTGGAGGAATTGAGGAAGCAACTCAACGAGCTACTTGATGCTGGCTACATCCAACCCTCCAAGTCCCCATATGGTGCACCCGTCTTGTTCCAACGCAAGAAAGAAGGTAGCCTAAGGTTGTGCATCGACTATAGAGCATTGAACAAGATTACCATCAAGAACAAGTACCCACTTCCGTTAATCGCCGACTTATTCGATCAACTTGGTGAAGCAAGGTACTTCACAAAGTTAGATCTTCGATCGGGATACTACCAAGTGAGGATAGCCCTTGAAGACGAATCGAAGACGGCGATGGTGACCAGATATGGATCGTTCGAGTATAAAGTCATGCCATTTGGTCTGACCAATGCCCCCGCAACATTCTGCACATTGATGAACAAGGTATTCCACCCTTATCTTGACAAGTTTGTTGTGGTTTACATTGATGATATCGTTGTCTATAGCAAGACATTGGAGGAGCACGTCAAGCACTTGCGCATAGTGTTCAAGACCCTTCGGGAGCATGAACTCTATGTCAAGAAGGAGAAATGCTCCTTTGCCACAAAAGAAGTAGAATTTCTTGGCCACAAGATAAAGGAGGGGAAACTTATGATGGAAAAGGGCAAGATCAAGGCCATTCAAGAGTGGGAACCGCCGACCAAGGTACCAACACTACGATCTTTTCTGGGGCTAGCCAACTACTATCGGAGATTCATAAAAGGGTATTCAGCCATAGCAGCACCCTTAACAGACCTTCTTAAGAAGAACAAGGCATGGGAATGGACGGACCGGTGTCAAGATGCCTTTGAGAGGTTGAAGAAGGCCCTAATGGAGGAGCCTGTACTAAGGTTGCCCGACCTTAGTAAGCCATTCGAGTTGCACACTGATGCTTCCGACTTTGCCATAGGATGAGTGTTGATGCAAGAGGGACATCCGATAGCCTATGAAAGTCACAAGCTAAACAATGCAGAGAAGAGGTACACGACCCATGAAAAGGAGATGACCGCCATCGTCCATTGCCTTGAAGTTTGGAGGCATTACTTGCTTGGTACCCCATTCATCATCAAGACGGACAACGTTGCCACTAGCTATTTTCAAACCCAACAAAGCTCACACCTAAGCAAGCAAGGTGGCAAGAGTTCTTAACGGAGTTTGATTACAAGCTAGAGTACAAGCAAGGAAAGGAGAATGTGGTGGCCGATGCTCTAAGTAGACGAGTAGAGTTAATGGCTACGGTACTCAAGCCGCAAAGCCATCTCTTGGGCCGTGTCCGAGAAGGTTTATCACATGACGTCCAAGCCAAGAACATTGTGGAGTTTGTCAAGGAAGGGAAGACAAGAAGGTTTTGGCTTGAGGACGGCTTGCTATACACCAAGGGCAAGCGGATCTACGTCCCAAAGTGGGGAAGCTTAAGGAAAGAAATCCTTAAGGAGTGCCATGACTCAATGTGGGCAGGACATCCTGGCACTCACCGCATGTTGGCTTTGGTGAGTGATGCTTATTATTGGCCACAAATGCGGGATGATGTAGATTCATACGTGAAGACTTGCCTTGTGTGCCAACAAGACAAAGTGGAACAAAGGCAACCGGGAGGACTGTTGGAACCACTTCCCACCTCATCAAGACCTTGGGAGTGTTTGACCATGGATTTCATCACACATTTGCCCAAGTCTGATGGATGTGGATCTATCTTCGTCGTGGTCGATAGATTCACCAAGTATGCCACTTTCATACCCGCACCCGTGGAGTGCACAGCCGAAGTGGCTGCACGCTTGTTTCTAAAGCACGTGGTGAAGTATTGGGGTGTTCCGAGGAGCATAGTCAGCGATCGAGATGCTCGCTTCACGGGTAGATTTTGGAAGGAGCTCTTCAAGCTACTTGGCTCAAAGTTAGACTTCTCCACAGCTTTTCATCCCCAAACTGATGGACAAACGGAGTGGGTTAATGCATTGTTGGAGACTTATTTGCGGCACTATGTTAGTGCCAATCAACGAGATTGGGCGAAGTTACTTGATGTTGCCCAATTCTCTTATAACTTGCAACGTTCGGAGTCGACGGGGAAAAGTCCGTTCGAGTTGGCTATAGGGCAACAACCCTTGACCCCGAACACAGTCGTGACTGGCTACACGGGGAATAGTCCAGCCGCTTTCAAAACCGCTAAGGAGTGGCAATTAGCCCACGAACTTGCTCGAGCTCATTTGGAGAAGGCTTCAAAGAAGATGAAGAAATGGGCAGATCGCAAGCGAAGGAATGTGGAGTTCCAAACTGGCGACCAAGTCTTTGTGAAGCTCAATGCGTCTCAGCACAAGAGTACTCGTGGCTTGCACAAAAGCTTGTTGCGGAAATATGAGGGACCATTCCCTATCATCAAGAAGGTTGGCAAAGCCGCGTATGTTGTGGAACTCCCACCCCGCCTCAAGTTTCACCCGGTGTTCCATGTGAGCAACTTGAAGCCTTATCATGCAGACAATGAGGAACCAAGCCGAGGTGAGTCTCATCGGGCACCCCCTTTGATGACGGAGTCATTTGACAAAGAAGTGGAGAGCATTGAAGCCAAGCGTGTCGTGGTGCGACCAAGACAACCAAAACATGTGGAGTACTTTGTCAAATGGAAGGGGCTACCATACTCCGAAGCAACATGGGAGAAGGAGACGTCCTTATGGCAATATAAGGACTTGATTCAGACATTCGAGAGGCAAGAGTCGACGAGGACGTCGACGGCTTAAGTGGGGGAGGATGTCACGGGCCATGTGTTAAAAACAAAGAAAATGCCCAAGACATCATATATCTAAGCCCATGAAGCCATGTCTTCATGGAAGCTTCTGGAACGTCCCGGAGAAATCAAGAACGTGGCGGAGCATTCAAGATAATCTAGGGCATTTCGGAACATTCCACACAAGTGTACATATTTAAGCCTCACCTAGAATAATCTAGATTAGGCAAGTTGTATCTAGAACTATGCTAGATATTTTTGGATGTAAGTAGGGGATTCTAGAACCCTCCATTGAGGAGGTGACTTAGGCCTATAAATAGGAGGTAAGGCCATTTGGCCAAACCATCCAAGAGTTGTAAGCAATTGTAAAGTTCTCTTAAGTTTCAATACAAAGCTTCCTTTCTCCCATCTTCTAAGTGATCTTAGCATTCTCCAAGCTATCTTAGCTTTCTTTGTGATTCGATCCGGGGAAGCGAGGCTTCGAAGGCTTACTTAGCTTGTTCATCGAGGTATTCAAGTCTAAGTGCCGCACGGGCGGAAGGCTTAAAAAGTCATCCCGTGACACTAGGATGTGTTGGCATTTTGTACATCCTCTTTTACCTTATAAAGCCTATCTTTTCAACCACTTTTACACAAGCCCCCTTGGGGACGTCTAGAGCTTTTACTTTTCTGTCTCTTTGGCCTTTCTTCCAGAAACAAAATCCTTTTTTCCGTTCACCATCTGCTGCCACCAACGAAGCCATACAGCTGCACTGTTCTTGAAGGACTTCCACATCAGAATTGCTTCAGGGGGTTTCTTCTATGGATTTAATTTCACTTATATTGTTCTTCATATCTATTTATTATGTGATTATGTTGTGTAATTAAGTTCATAGCTGGGGATTTCGATGTAGCTTTGTAAAACTATTCTATGTTATTAAGTTAAAGTGTTCAAATTACCAATCTGTTTTCTTGTTTCATTCACTAATTTTATAGCTTAATCTATTTGTTTATCTAAATTTTTGGTCACCATTAGGATTTCCTACAAATTATTAGATCAAGGTTATGGTACACATCATGCTTAATCTTGGTGGACATGTGAATGAATAAAGAAATTGCTATGCAAAGATCCTGCCATGCGATTTCTTTGGTTCTTTTAAGTTTTCTTGTTCTTAATGGATTCTTAATTGGTAATCTAAGTTGAACATCACAATTAGGTTGCAGATTAGAAGTACTTGATCACAACCACACATCAAATGGATGATCAGAAATAAGGAAACGGAACCCTAGTTGCAGATTAGAAAGTTGAAAACGTTTTGACTTAATTTTCATGGAATTGACTTGTAGTGGTGAAATTAGTGTCCCTAGTCCCATCCCATCATTAACCAATTAGTCATCTTTATCTTGTCTTTCATTTTCAAGTTACTTTAGTTTTCAAAACAAAAATCCAAATTCAGTTTGTATTTTCATTATTTAGTTTGGATTCACATAAAACTAGTAATTTGTTGAGGTCTAATCAATCCCTATGGTTCGACACTCTTACTTGTACCATTGTACTGTGCTTATATTTGCACTTAAAAGGAACACAACCAAAACCCACAAACGTAGCAAAAGAAAGAAAATCGAAACTTGATGCGACATTGAAAAACAAATAGAGCGCGTATATGCTTGCAAACTGTTTGGTTCCTAAGAAAAGGGAAAATCTTGAAATTGGAATAATCTCCAAACAAATCCCAATTCATTGCACCAAACTAATTGCTAAGTATTTAATTTCAATGAATTCTATGCATTTATTCAATATTTTATGGATCGTATAACAATTGCTCAGAGACCCCGAAACGAACCTTATGGAAAATGGGAACTAATTTTTTTTGGTGATTGTTGTTGGTACTATTCGTTTAAAGGAAAACTAATGAAAAGAGTTTCAAAACTTTGAATCTTAACAAAAAAACCTGGTACTAAGTTTATTTAATGGTTAGGAGAAAGCCCAACATCAAACTAGCCCAATGAATGAGTTTCCAGTTTTATGCCTAATGGCAAATCTGTTCCCGTTTATTCATATCTCCCTTTCTTGATCTCTCCAGACTCCACCTAATCTCTACTTCTCGATCTCCAGTTCTCAATCTCTCTGCCTAATCTCGATCTCTCTTTTGCACAAAAACAAATCCTCCACTTTTGTAATTGAATTGATTTCTCTACCTCTCTCTTGATCGTTCTACCTAATCTCTGTTTTCATTTCCAATTCTATTCGAATTCACCATTTTTCGAATCACCGTATTAGGAGTCTTTGAGGATGAAGGAATTTGAGGCTATTGGATTCGGGTCATCCGCAGCATGAGCATTCTCAACATTGGTGGTACTGCTAGGTACAAGCACTTCTTCATGACATTTCTTAACAAATTTCTCCAATATTACTTATAGTTTCCCTTAATTTCTTCACTAATCAATCTTTTTTCGACCTTTAACATTCCTAATACAATTGTTAATAAGTAAGTTCCAAGCTGCAAATAAAAAAGAACAGATTAATATGTAAGTTCCATGCTGCAAATAAAAAAGAAGACATTTTTTACTTGTTATCTATATATTTTGAAATTTCTCCAGCCATCTGGCATGATCTACCAAATATATTAGTTATTAGACATGTATATATGTAGGTGTACCCCGTTGTGTTTGTATGCATAATTTAAAAAAAAAAATTATTTATACTGCTCTGTGGAAATTGCATATTTTTTGTTATTGCTCCGTTGAATACGAGCTTAGTGCTTGGAAACAAAAACGCCAAAGCAAACTAGAGAAAAAACTTAAACAAGATTAATGATTGACAGCTCAATGGAGCATTTTAGGTACTTCATGGTAAAGCCTATGTAGAAAATGTGGATAAATATCCCCGACTTATGGAGGACCTGGAGTTCCCTGCAATTGTTTGGCTTAGAGAATTTCATGACTTAGAATGTTAAAATAAATGTTGTTTTATTGCAATGATGATTTATGGTTTTTAGTTTCGTATTAGCATTTGTTGTTTGGACACAGGTACGTACTGTTTTTGTGTGAAATCCCACTCTTGCATTTTACTATTGTAAATTACGTATTAGTGAGATTTTATATTATTTTCGGGAATTTATATGAGTTTTATTAAATTTAGATTTTGATTAAATTAATTACAAAGTTTGAATTTTGGTCAGTAATCGTTAAAAATCCGTAGACCTTACGAGGTCACATT